ACTACAAAATATAATAAAATGTTAAAAATATTTTTCAATTCGTCAAATTAAATATTGTGCAAAGTTCATAATCAATAATATCTCAAAAACAGTCTTACCCTTTTTACATTTTTTAAATCTCTTAAAATATTCGTGTATTTGTGTTAGTTCAATTCTTGAAATTATTATTTGTAACTATATAATATTATGTAGGTAGGCGCCTACCTATATCATATTATTGGTGGATATTACGACATTATTATGTAGGTACGTTTACATATATTATTATTCATTGCATTGCAACACATATTATATGTTATTAATTGAACGTTTATTTAATATAATATAGCAATTAGCAATACTTACATTATTTGGTAGCTATTCTTAATGTTTTCTTAAGTTATGATGAATATAATATAATTTCAATCATGCATTAAAGAAAATCGATATGGTCACAGAGAAGAGGATCATTTACGTTGTGCAGGTACTTTGTTTTATTTCAAATGAAAAATATGTAAAATTAACAATTATAAGTATTATTTTGTATAAAATAGAATTTCAGCATTAACTTTAAAGTTTTTTGATTTTGTTGATAGGTGATCCTTTAAATCGTCATAGCATTGCCATTGATCATTTGATCTCAAACCATATGCTATGTAATGGCCGTATGAGTGTTTTAATTCTCTTGCCGATCCATCAAAAGCAATTACCCATTTACCCCTCTTAAATAGTACACATCTCCATTAATTGTTATTGTCTTACTAATATCTCCAAGTTTCAACCAAACCTTTCCTGCATAATTTTGTGAAATTTTCGTTGTATTTTCAAGATGACTATATTTACCGGAAGCTCTAAAACCTATTAATAATGAAAAATGATCATATAAATAACTACAATGTAATACATTATTTAAATATTCTATTTAGTTACTACATTTTTTTTTTTTTAATAATTCTTTGAATATTTTTCGTGCTTATGGTGTTAACTTTGGGGTTTTGCCCTTTAGTATTACTTACCAGTTTTATTATGTCTAATATTTTGTTTTTTTTAGAGAATAACAATTTTGCACAGAATAGTTAAATCAAATTTTATTTTTTAATTTTAAATATCAAATGGCTCTAATTATACCTAATATCACTATTATAGTACGTACCTAATATTATTATTATTATTATTATTATTATTATTATTATTATTTTTTTTAAATAAGCAATGACTAAAAAATACAAATAACGGTATTAGGATATTTTGCCACTTCCCCGTATGCTTTTAAAATAATTAAGATGTTTTTATTTACCTTTTGGTATTGACAATAGTTCCACTACTATATGATTGGTTGGTTTTGTAACCACTTCTCTTGAGCAATTACAATTTATTGATACACAGCATTTTGTAATTGGTTGAAAAAAATCGTCTATTTCTTTTTGCAAATTAATAGTCCCATCGACGCCAAGAAATGTAATGACAACCTATCCTGCCGAACTTTTTTCTTTTTCAAAACATAGCATATTTTGACAAGTATCTAATCTAATATACGATGGCATATCTTCCAATAATCATCGCACATCGATGCAGCCGTGTCTACTGTATTGATTAGCATTATACCTCCAATTAGATTTTTGCTCTCCGTTATAAAATGTAGTGCAAGCAAATATACGCGATCTCTGTACATTTCTTTAGACGGTCTGTTTCCGATCATTTTTTTTTATAAAATCAGCTACATTCTTATTATTTTTTCCTTCTGTTAAATACTTTTTATAATTATTGCTTTCTGCAACAGACACCACTAAAATTGACAACAAAGAATCTCCTGAACAAGTATTGTTCATCAATACTTTGTCATATCCTGGTACGTATATAGGTTTGTTTTGAAAACAAGAACCATTTCTGAGTAAGGCTATTTCATTAAATGTGAAAAAATGTAAAAAACATATTATATATAATATAAAGGTATAAATAAATAATACATTTGTTTTAAAGAATAAAAAGTTTCAAAAAAAATTATTAACAGGGTAAACAATTGAACATGGGTGAGTACTAATTAATGAAAATTGAAAATAATTGACATGCACCATTTAGTCAAAAGGATCGATGAACAAATTTTTTTTTGGTGGTTACAAATGATTACAAATGATATTACATAATCTCCATTAGGTTTCAAGTACCTACAAGTCGAACTTCTGTAATGGCGGGCTGTAGTGACGTCACCGTGGTCCCGCCACATGGAAACTTCGTTTTGAGCCGAAGTGGGTGGGTTACAAATTTTTTTTTTGTGGTTACAAATGATTACAAATGATATTACATAATCTCCACTAGTTTTCAAGTACCTAAAAGTCGAACTTCTGTAGTGGCGGGCTGTAGTGACGTCACCGTGGCCCCGCCACATGGAAACTTCGTTTTGAGCCGAAGTGGGTGGGTTACAAATTTTTTTTTTGTGGTTACAAATAATTACAAATGATATTACATAATTTGACATTAATTTCCATTTATAAATCGGAAGTGGCGGGGCCAGGGTAACTAACCTGAAGTAGGTACCTATGTTTAAAAATACCGGCATACCCTGCGAAAAAGTCTGCGCACGCCTTTGCTAAATATTTATTTGTACAAAAACTTAAGTTCAAAATGTATATTGTATAATAACGAATTGGTGGTTAGTAATAATTGTTTGTATTTTGCGTACTTATTTTACAACTGATTATAATACAAATAGTAAGGTACAACGTGACATGTGTGAGTAATGAAAAAATGTATTAGTTGAAAAATATATATAGATGTACTTATACTTTATTACTATAAAACTTCACAACCTTAATTTATTATTCACCAAAGAAACTAATAGTTTCTAAACAAGAAAGTATTAATTATGTTTTTAATGTTTTTGTGGGTTTCTACATATATCATAATATAATATAATAAGTAACACAGAAAAATAATCTTAAATTAAAAATGATCTAACAATGGTAATTAATTATAAATAACATTAATTAGGTAGGTACATTATGATTGTTTTCCAGTAACAACGGCGTCTGCAACACAAATGGGGACGGAATGGCCGACTTTAGCTCGATACCTCGGTTATGGGTGGCATTTTTCTTCGGGCAAGTCACGGTGTCCGGAGAACAAGTGCTGCCATCCCCCACCCGGGCATGGCAGATACTTACGGGTGCCAAATCAAAAATTCTGCCAAACTAACCCACACTTGTTCCTCCCCCTACCGACATAAAAACCTAAAAAACCAAAACAGCTAATGGCCATAGTCGCCGGGCCTAAGATCAACTAAAAAAAAAAAAACACAAATATTTTAATTATGTTTAATATTATTATGTATAGGCATATTCTATACAAATACATTGAAATTTGGAGATGTTACCTACTATTATTTGGTAGGTGCGTTTGTTTTTTAAGCTTAAATGTTATTATATTTGTATAGTTGTATAGCCGTATAGGTACAGTGTATCTCAAGAATTTGGAAATGTCATACATAGTTTATACAATTTGTACATTTCCCAACTTAATTTAGACAACTTGTATAATGTATAATATATATATTTTATTATAATATATAAGTAGGTACCTAATATATTATAATATCTATAATGTTCACAATTTCATAATATACGTCATCTGAATGAGACGTTAAAATATGTAAAATGTTATAAATTATAAATTACTCATTAATCACAACAAACTAATTAACAATCACAACTCGAATTGTTGATAAAAAAAAAATGTATAGGTACATATATCATGCTATCATAAATGTATTTTTTCTAACAAAATTGATGCTCAATATTATGGTGATAGCGTAGAACAATAGTTATAGGTGACTAATAATATATTAATTTATCATCATTCTACAAGAGACGTATAGAATTATATTCACCCCCAATTTACATTTCTTCGTTATCTACCCTGTGTTAATTTTTTATTGCAGCCACTACACGATCAATGTGTTATTAATATTAATTAAGTAATTGTTATATAATATATATGCTCAACAATAAAGGCCCAGCCGCGTGGTGCAACTAGAGGGCGTCAGGGAAGTGAGCTTGACTAAGATTTAGCCCCCCCCCCCAAATATTTGACGATGAAATAGTTTTTTTTTGTTATGCTCATGTAAAAAGTATCCATTTTGCATTGATAATTAATGTAAAAAAAAAACTCGTTTGATATAATAGGCAGTGGTTGATTTATAGAATTTCGGGAGGTAGACCATATTATTTTGTATAAATGGCTTACTTGGCTCACAATAATGTCACACTGTCGTCACATAGGTACATAAAAAAAACCCGCTTCGTAATAAAACCAATACATTTTTTCTTTGCTGAGAATATAAAATTCCTGATGGATTGTGGTGGGTGGAGCCGTGAAGGTGAAATGTGAATCTCTAATGCTTATTTTAAGTGAATAGCTTTGCCGTTTTGGTGAGAGCTGTAGTCTCCACCCCTCCTTCAGAATTCCAACCCTCATTGCGTCAACGGGTTTAGGTACAACATGAGGCGTACTACTTGAAGTTTGGGTCTCTTCCAAGACTGTTGGGCCAAAATAATAACAATCTGTCTGATCTCGTCCGAATACGACTTAAGCACAAACTCTATAGGTACTATTATAAATGCAGAATTAACTGTCGTAGCAGTGGTAGATACGGACGAGATTAACATTTTAGAATTCAAACATACAATATACCTATAAGCCTATCGAAAATCGAAATAGGAAGAATTTTATATAATACGACCGTTACGGTTATTAGCACGCGGTGACAGGCCTGAAACGCTAACATGTTATCCAATTATATTATGACGTTTCCTAATATACATTATTATAATATTATTGACTATATTTTATAAACAACCATATTAATAGTAAAATATACTAATATGCACAATCGTCTATAACTGAGTCTATGTATTGTATTCGAATCGCGTGTAAATCGGCCACATTCTTATACACAGTATTATAAATTTTATAATATTATATATATTATAGTATACACAACATTATTGGTTAAGCGCATCAGCGTCTTACAGCTGATGAATCCCTTCGGTGTTCAAGTAGGAAGGGTCTACGGACACCACTTTGGCGGTCAGGAACGCATGCACGCAGAACAGCAAGCTCTGCAAGTCTTGACATACCAATTCCTAATTGAAGACAAAAATACAAAATCAATAAAAAAAGAATCAATTCCTTATGGCTAACACAGTAGTTACGATCGCGGACGATCAGAAATCCGTACTTATATCGTATAAAACTTTGCAATATTCTCTGCAAATTGCAATGATATATTTACGATATAATTGAAATTAGGTAGCCAGGTAGGTACCTATACTGTATAGTATACTAATTGTTTTTTTTATAGTGCGAGGTGGAATTCTGATCACCCAATTTGCCGTGATATAATTATATATACGAGTACGTTTATATCATACTAATTCATGCATATTGATTATTGACAATAATAGTTCGGAAGCAACCACAGATGTTGCTGGAATTTATTTTACATTTTTAGGGCGTTTGCATGAAATATAATTAACAATAAAACAAGTAATATTGTTTTTAAAAACAGCAGGTAGTTACTTCTAACTCTGGTGATATACAAAACTAATACTTTATGGATCAGTGTTCCACTAAATATACCTATAGACTCTATGACCCTTGTCACCACTATAGTAATATACCTAATAAATAATAATATTAAAACAACCCGAGTACATTAATATACTATCAATAGTCAATTCGCTCAGTTGTATAATAATATTAGTAATTATGAGAGGTTACCTATATACTATATAGGTATTGACTTCCAGTATGAAAAATGTAGGAAATGCTTATAACTGCAGGGCTCGGGACTTAAAGCATTTGCTTATTTTTATGGATTGACTTAAAATGTAACAGAGTGCTATGGAAGTGTATATCGTGTTACGACACGTTCAATTATGAAATTTGCAAGTGCTTTTTCTTGCTTTTTTCATCTATTTTTCAAAAAAATGCTTATTTCCAGTTTTTTTTGGTTATTTTTGAGTTTTTGACCAGTTTTTCTACTTTTTTTTTATGGTTTTATACTGCCAAGTTGTTTTTGATAGAATTAAATTTAAATCATTTAATGCAATAATGAAATTAGATTTAATTAATTTTTTTTTCAACTATGCATTTGTAAATATCGTTTACATTTTAATTTTCAGAAAATCCCTCAGAAAATCTATAAATAATAATGCAAATTGTCTCGAAAGTGAAGTTTAATTTTTTTGATAGTATAAAGATTTATTTATTTATTTTTATTTTTTAGTTAGAAACTTTTCCTAATCATTATTTTTAGCACAGTTATACAATAATGTCTATACTCTATAGTACCTACTTTATCATGTAAAAAGAAAGTTTTTTTTTTGATGAAATATTTTTGCTTAAATTTAAGTTTTTTAAATGCTTATTTTAGTGCTTATAACGATGTTTTTAAGCTCTTATTTTAATGATTTTAAGTGCTATAAGTCCCGAGCCCTGTTTATAAGCATTAATAGGTATTGTTGCCGCCAAGACAGTTTATAAGCGCCGTACCTATATATATCCCGCCACCGACTGACATTTTTGAAGTTTAAGGTCATTTTTTAAATTTATAAGTCATACCCACTGTCTTATAAGGGATTTAACTGGTATATATTTTTATTGGGGGGGCAAAAGCCCTCTTTGCCCCCCCCCCGGGATCTGCCACTAAGTGGGGCCAGTGGGCACTAATAAATTTTACTTAGGTATGGTGCGACCACTACAATATATTTAACATTTTTATTTTACAACCTTCGTTTCGATACAGCCGTTGTCGTTGAAGTGAAGCTTTAGCCGGGAAATGTGATCGTCTGAGGATCCACGGAGCTCGGAAAACTTGTACGTCCAAACGTTCGAATTCGTCCAGTTATCGTATAATGTGAACCCGTTGTCCCAATCCAGTATTAAGTTTGATGGCTTTTGGTTGTTGCCAAATAACACGTAGAACGTTCTGCTCTGTGAAAACGAAAAACAATATTATATTATATTTACATTATATTAATATCTTAATATTTTATAGCGATAATATTGACCTATAAATGGCTAAATATGATGTTAGGCGTTCGAGGATATAGGTATGTTATATATTACAAGACACGTAATAACTGCATAGGTATTTATAGGTTAGGTTATGATGATCCAATATTCGAAATTCATTATTGTAAATATTGTTGGTTGAAAAATAAGTAATTTTTTGGTAACTGTGGAAACTTATCTGCGACAAGTGCAACCTCATACTTACTATGAGTTTTTAATTTATCTTTAATTTTCCACAAATCTTCACTCTTTTAAAAAAAACTATGAGGAACAATATTAATTAGTAATTACAAATACATTTTTTTTAACGAACGCGATATTGATGCTATTTAAAAATAATAAACAACCGTATTCAAATAACAAAATAAAAATAGTTTTTTCAAATTGTTACGTTAAATAATAAAAATATATTTTAGATTCTGAGTGGAACGATAAATGTATTGATTTTACAATGATGTGTGTTTTTTTTTTGTCTGTCGTCACCTTTTAGGACAGTAAAAGTGCTTGGATTTTCTTCAACAGTATTTTTAAAGTGAATCTAGTTGGTACTTTGGGGGGTCAAAAGTATAATTTTTCCAGTAGTTTTCAAAAGCGCCGTGAAAAACAAAAGAAAAATTAAGGAAAAACGGGAATACTCACACAAAATCTGTTTTCGAAAAAATTGATTTTGGTTTTTGGTGCAACTCTTAAACAAATTACCGTAGATACATGAAGTTTTGACTGAATTATCCTTTTTCTATAGACGATAAAATTTTCAAAATATTATGATTTGTTTTGAACTTTTTAGGAACATTTTTTTTTCCATTTTTTTTTAGTTTTTTTTCTAAAAATATCAATACAATTTTATTGTTGGTTAAAAAAGCTTGAAAATTTAAGAGAAGGCTCCTAGTATATTTTTTCAAAGGCAGATGAAAAATATTAAAAATCCTTATAGTCACAGTTTTTTTTATAAGCATTTAAAGTTCAAAAATTGACAAAATTACGAAAATTATAAAATTATTTTGAGTTAAGAATTTGTAAAAAATTTTCTTTTTAAATCTAAGATTTTAAAATGTAATATAGAAGATTCCTTATAAGATTATCTACCTTTATCAAAAAAAATGTCTATAAGAAATTCAAATTAAATTTTTATTAGCATTTGAAATTCAAATTTTTAAAACATTTTATATTCACTCGATTTCTCCTGTAGCGATTTCCTTATTTTGTTGTAATTCAAAAACGAATAACTGTAGATACATGAAAAATTCACTGGATGTTTATATTAGCATTTCCTATACACCATACAATTTTGAAAATATTTTGTCCCTTTTTGAGCTGTTTACGGACATTTTCAGTTTTCAATTTTTTTAGGTTTTTTTTTCTATAAATATCAATAAAATTTTATCTGTTGGGCCAAAAAGTGGGAAAATTTAATATAAGGCTCCTGTTAATTGTTACAATATCAGTTGAAAAATATTAAAAATACAAAGCCACAATTTTTTTTTACAATCATTTAAAGATCGAATTGTGACAAAATTTATCAAATTTAAAATTGAATAATTATTTTGTAGTTAAAAATTTATAAAATGTTCAACTTTTATATCTAAGGATTGAAAATTGAATACAAGATTCCACGTAAGTAGTTAATTCCGTTACCAAAAACGTAAAAGATACATAAGCACAGTTTATTTTTATAGTCATTTTATGTTCAAATTTGGACGAAATTACATAAAAAAATACCTAGAATAACTATTTTAGTTATTTTGTTGTGTTTGTATAATATTATTCGTGGGTACTTGAAACTTCTAAAGTACACTATTATAATATATAATCTATGAATTATGATAGTATCAGGGTTTGTTGTTGATGTATAACAAGTTATTAGTACAAGTTATTAGTAATACTAATGGTTATAGTGATATGATTAATTTGAAATTTATTATAGGTACCTATAGGTCAATTTTTTTTAATACCATAGATAAGTATATAATATGTCTTATACCTAGACTAACATACCGTCTCCGCTCAGAATCGTTTTTCTTATACAATGATATTATATCATTGAATTCAAATTACCATCCATTATACAGTGACCCACTTGTAATCTACTGTACAGCAGAGCACCTTTTTGATTTTGAAAATCACACAAATTGACTGAGAAATTTAGTATAGTAATAGTTAAATATATATGAGGCGTTGAGCACAAAAGTGGCCTATTTGACTCAACCATCATTCAGAGTAAAATAGCTTTAATAATTTAACAAATTTTGTATCACCGAGAACAATTTTTATTTATTTTTTTTTTTTTGGGGGGGGGGGGGGGGTGGGGGGTTCTTCTTGAAATCTATTGTAGATTACATCAGTGTTTTTGAAACCAAAAGAAAGGTCAAAATAAGTTAATGTTGGATAGGTCACTTTTTCATTTTTCTTAAAACCACTTCATAATTATAAAATGTGGTTTAGGTCAAATTTGTATAAAAGAATCAACCATGTCATGTCAACTGAACTCTTTTAATCAACTTTACATACAATTTTAAAATAACAATATAGGTATTTTAAATTGAGACTTATGAATTGTTTAAATCACATATTTTTTCAGATTTTAAAATTATGAAAACAGCATAATATTATTATTATAACAGAATGGTGATGCTCTCTAGGAGAAAAAAAAGATATTAAATAGGCCGGTTTTGCTTTAATATTAATTACACGATTTTGAACAACTTGATACAGTTACTTCGATTTTTTTTTTTTGTGGTTTAGGGCACTTTTACGTTCAGCGCTTCATACCTATATATATATAATATAGATAGTGGCATAGTGCAATGGCCAATGGGTAACCTATAATATAAATATAACCCATATGGTGGGGATTACCGTCAATTCCGGCCGTGCCACTCACAATATACAAAATGTTTTTCCAAAATTCGTTCACATAACAAACGTATTATACAACTATTTGTTGGATATATAGGTATTCAAGTTCGAAGGACTTACTTTGATGTGCATCATGGACGTGCATATCGACCTGTGCCAGGCGCACTGCACGTCCAGTAGACCCTGTTTGGTTTCCATTGAAAAGTACCGGGACACCCCGTTCGATGTCTGAAGTAAAAAACAATTTTGCCTCTGATCCACGTTTTCTGCATCCTTCACTAGTCTCAACATGGACTCGTACAGTTTGTACACCACGCCACAGTCCAACCATTCCGTAATGGACATCTGATAATACGACACATAATATAAAATATGAATATAGACTCTACCTTGTGGGAAGAGGGGTGCACCTTAAAATTAAACGGAGCAATGCTGACTTGAGTATTTTGTAATTAATTAGAAAAATATTATCTAAAACACATTTAGTGGACTGCAGGCAGTGGCGTTGCTCTGGGGGAGGTTAGGAGTTTTATTCTCCCCCCCCCCCATTGACGGATAAATCCCTTTATTTGAGAGTTCAGAATTATTATTAGCACACTTCATTTAAATGTATTATTAGTTATAACATCCCCCCCCCATTGGCCCCAAATTAAGCCCTGGACCCGCCACTATCATTCATCAAGTTACAGCATTGAGTCTTATAATATATTATAAGCATTTAATTTCGATATGAACAGATACCAGATTAAGTAAATCTATAGTCTGTGGTGATACTCACTTAACATAAAATTTGCACCTCATAAAAATTACACAAATGACGCCCATGTATATAATTTGTATTATACAAGTATGTAAAAATACGGCATGACTCCTATAGGGTATCTGTCACAACGGCATCATATATATATATATAGATATATACAGGGTGTCTATTGCTACACATTATCATAAATCTGGTTTTTTTTATGAGACTCACAGAGGCTGCAAAAACTACACATATGTATTTGGTAAAAAAGTTATAAAATTATTTTTTTATTTTTGAAACAATAGAAGATAGTCATTTTAAAGAATTTATTTTTGTGAAAATTTTAATTTTTTGAACATTTCTTTTTCATTAATCTCGGGATTTTTCTTTTTTTTTTAGTTTATAGGTAAAATGGCCAAAAACCGGTTTTAGTCCGGACGGCGAGTCCTCTTCTACGGCTAATGGGCTATGGGTATCCTCAAGGGACACCCTATTTATATATTATATACATATATATTAAGGGTAGGTTAATATATATGTATATAATCGACTATTGTTGACAATATCGAGTGTCAACACTCGAGCTCGGCTAATTCTGTGACTTAATTAATAGTAATGAAAACTTACAAAGTGCAAAACACCAAATGTGAAATCGATGTAATAACACGTCTGTACGACGTAAATTCAATAAAGTTTTTTATAGCTTAATATTTGTTTTGTACAGTGTGTCCGTGTCGCGGTCGTGTAGGTAATATGAAAGTTTCTCAACGAATATATATTTATAATATAACAGTATAACACACCAATAATTTCCCGGGACTTGTAATAACTTCGTTCATCTGAAGAAGGTATACAGTATTGTTGTTCAATGGGTTCTGAGTCCTGACTCCCGGATTACTAATTGGCTCTCCAAACCGTTGCCACTTGTCTGTATTTAGTTATATATCAGTTACGAGATGAAACATGAAACGTCACTCACTGCACACTTTTTGTATATATTATATATATATGCTCCTTATATAGTATTAATGGAGTGGGCTTTTAGTAAAGTATATAATATTTAATAAGTCCTATTAAACGAGCGATATACATTTACATATATTATAATATGTTTGAATTACCTATATACTATAACAAACCATAAATGATAATGGATTATACCCAAAAAATAATGCAGGTCCGTCGGTTCATTTTCTTTCATCAACTTGTATAAATTAATAATACCAACTGTTCAATTAGTAGGAGAAAAAATGTTTTCATACGTGAAATTGTCTATTTTAAAAATCTATTCGAAGTTTGTTTCTTGTAAAATACTAAAATATTACAAATATAATGTATAAAAAAATAAACAGTGGTTTTGCTATACTTATAAACAATACTATGCGAAACGTTGAGCGTCACATACGACAATAGATGATATTATCATCTAAATTCTAAGTGATATGGTATTTTATTAGGTTTTAGGTTAGGTTATAAGGTAAATCACCACAGCAGTCAGTACTGTATACTAGCGTGTAACTACCATATATTATAGGTAGTACTTTATAGTAATTTATTGCTATTTCCGTGGTGGCATATTGACGAAGTGGATTTATATACAGTGCATAATAGATAATATAAAGCGTTTCTAATTTATATAACAATAATGCACTAGGGAGACATAAATCGTTTACGGTAACGTAAAATATGGCCCTATGGGCGAACGTAGAATTTTATGCATGGAATTACCTATCCACCAGTAATGCGTGTAGCAAGTGCAAGTGTATACAGATGGGTCATGAAACATTTATTTCGCTATGAAAATGTCGAGAGCCGTTTACTTATCAAGTTTAAACGACACTTACCGGAGGAGTATCGAAAAGCAATACGTCACGACCTCTGATTATCATGAATCTTGCACAGTAACTTTGCCAAGGGTGGTTATTGTTCAGCACACCCTCGTTTACCCATCCCATGTACTCGATTTTCTCGTTGATACCAAAATTTAAATTGTAGAGCTTAATCTGAAAAGAAGAAAATATAATATTGATACAATTAATACAAACATGATTAATATCTAGAAATATACATCGATAGCAAAGTAATTAAAGCTTAGTTAGGTATACTTGTATTTCTGAGAGATTTGAGATGTTTTCTGAAATAAGTTTGACCCATTCGGACAAACTTTTGACATTATCGCAATGTATGATAGTAGAATTAAGATCGTTCATGCCATGCACTTCGAAACCATTTCGCCGCAGTTTGTCCGTACCCTGCACATATCTGGTTACATAACCCATCATCAGAGGGACTGAATTCAAAATAAAAATCATTAAATAGACAAATATACGTATATTATTGTAACTGATAATCATACTTATAAGATAATCCATCCATGGCCCGTCTTCTGTGTCACTTTCTCCATTATTGTTGTTGTTTTTACTACCGTTCCCTGTAATAATTAAAATTATATTATTACCTATATAATATGGTAAATGTTTATCCAGATGTTTAATTTAAACTTTTATGAATAAATAAATAAACATATGAGCCATATTATCCATTATTATTATTATATGTTATGAAAGTGTGTTAATTAATATATAAGTATCTGAAGTATAAAATATTTAAACATAGGCATACGGAAAAAAGTGATAAATTAATATACAAATTTCGAAATTATGATGTTAAAAAGACTAAATATTTTAATTTTTAAGATCTTTAATTATCGTGAATAGAGGTAAATTGTAAATATAAACAAAAATAAATGAATATATAATACAATATTAATTATAACTTGTAACTAATATTATATAGGTAGTTATTAATAATATAGTATTATAGTATTTTTCATTATATAGTAGGTAGCACCTAAGCATCTATGAATATATTATATAGATGACTATTTAATATTTACTATATATATATCAAATTTTAATTAGGTGCCTACGTAAATTACTGTCAGACATGAATGAATTAATGCGAATAAAGATAAAGATGCGATTTATCAAAGATTAATTATCATTATCAATGGCGTGTATAAACATAGAAATAATAATAAATTATACCTACTTGAAATAATTATTTATTAATAAGGCCAACAATTATATGCCCTAAAAATCTATTAAATATGTATGCAGTTATACCCTAAAAATTACCAAAATATGCCCTTAAAATATGCTCTAAAAAAAAATGATATTGTAAAAATGATTAAATGATTTAATTTTTTTATGTAAGTATTATACAATGTATACCATGTCCATAATACAATTGTTGCCAATGAATGTATTTACAAAAATGTATGGTATTAAAAAATATTAAAAATTATAAAATTAAAATTAAATCAATAAATTATAAATAATAAGTTAAACAAAAACATTCGTCAAATAATAAACGTTTTAATTTTTACTTGATTTTATTGCATTGAACAAATTAATGATTTGGATAAGTTTTCAAACAGAATTGAGCGTCGATTGTCCGCTAACAAATTTTTTTAGAGTGGAAAAGAACATTTTACATCAACGAATGTAATAGGTGAGTATTTATAATGCAACAAATCGTTGCTTGACAGATCTTCTGGAATACCTACTAACGTGGGTACATCACCGGATAATACTTTAGAAATATTCGTAAGAATATGAACAATTGAAAACCATTATTTTTTTTAAAAACATCTTTATTAGATTACCTCTTTTCAACCTCTTTTCATAAACTATTTGAAATCCTCATAATAATAATAATAAGGTATATGAGGTATATAAATAATAAGGTATATGAGTGAAACTAATTAATATTTTGTAATTCCCGATTTTATAAGATCTTAAATATGCTCCAAAAATATACTATAAATGCTAAAATATGCCCTAAAAATGCAAAAATACCATAATATGGAAAAATATGCCAAATAAAATTTCGTATAACAGCATCGTTAGGTTATAAAACAAATTTTGGTATAAACTAGCAATTTTTTTGACAAACCAATAAAAATATACAAATGCATACAAGTGTTGGCCCTAATTTTATTATTAACCACTAAAAGTATAATAATAATTCATTATCAAGTGAAATTATATGATTCAATAAGAATAAGAACTAATAAAAAGTATATTAATACATGTTTTTAATTTTTATATACTTATTATAGTTCATAAAACAGTTTACTTTGTACATTATACAATACTGCATTTTACTACACTACACAAGCGACAAGCCTTGTTAGTTGCATTAAAAAAAAAACATGTATTTTAAACGTTTTAGTTCTATAGTTTCACAAAATACAGATTGTAAATATTATAATATTCTCTTTATAGATAAAAAAAAGGTTAGTGGTTACTTCAAAAACAAAATAAAAAACTTCACAAAAAGGGACGTTTAAAAATTAACATATCATAAGTACCTATTAATTTCGAAGTTAAAAGATACAATTAATGATATAAGAATTTGCATTAGAATATGTATGACAAGGCAACACTTGATTAACGTTGGCCAATTATAAGTCTACACTAGTACTGTGTAGAAACTAAAAGTTCACACTAGTCACAGTAGGTACTCGGATAGTCGTATGATAGGTATCTATAATTATCACCTAAAATTACGTACAAAACCTGGTTTATTGTCATTTGAATAGGTAGTTTTTAATGCCATTAATACAATTACAAAATCATAAAGTAATTACTCAAATATTATAATATAACGAATTAAACATTGATAATAATATAAATAAATACCTCTCCCTCCTAGTAAAAAAGGCGCTGCAGCTTTGTAGTGTTTGACCAATAATGTAACGTGATTTCCAGAATTTCGTAAAATGTGTAAAGCTGCATCGTGGCAAGCATTTGTGATCAACTGGTCGTTCACTATTTTAAAGAAAATTAATTAATCACAATAGTAAAATACGAAATTTAATATTCTGTTATAACGTATACATTATAACAGTTTTTCACAATTTACTCATAAGTCATAGCTTTAAATATGGAGGGGATGTGCATCTCCCTAGTATATATAAATCCAAGCTTTCTCAAAACTATAAAAAAAACATTAAGAGAGGTAATTACGAATTAAAATGTTTTTGAGCACAACATTTGTATCAACAATTAGTATAATCACCCTTTCTCGCGCACCCCATAAAAAAATAAAATTATGTATTATATAATTTTAAAAATAATTGCAACATGTATTCGTGCTTATTATATTTTGCAGTTGTATTTATTTAGAGTTTATCTGTACGACTGTACCTATATCGCTGATCGTTAAAAGTTAACATATTTATTTTTTCATACTATAATTATATTATGTTTACATTGAATACTGCTACTTCAAAAGTACACTTATTCCCAGTAAATTGTATATGACCTAAAATAATAATTTTTTAAACGAAAAGAAAAATGAGATAGTTTAGTTGTGCTTAAAAACTCAGATATTGAGGTGGATTTTTCTTTTATGCATTACAGGCTATTTGAAAGCAATATATTTTGCTACTACGATAACCCATTTCATACTGAAAAACGATACTGAGAGGACATTTTGTTGAAAATACGAATGTTTTATGCGTTTACGTTTAATACGAATCAAAATGACTGGTCTTATATTAAGGCACTATACCTTTTATTATAGCATCTCCTACGAATAACCTTTTCGTGTGGTAAGCGGCTCCTCCTTCGGGAATTCTAGATATCAATATCGGCAAGCTGTTCTCTTGACCACCTTTGACGCTTATTCCGAGGCTACCATTTTTTCTTGCCACGGTCACATATCTTAACTGTTGTTAAAAAAATATATATAAAAACAATCACGTTATATAAATGTTACTGCGTAGCTGCAATGCAGACATGCAGTTCTGGTATGAATAAAAAAAAAAATGGAATGAACGACATCGTTTAATTATTTAGTATCTATTATCTTATCAACAGTCATCCAAATAATGAGTTAGAAAATTGGATAAATTCACATATTATACATTTGTAATGATATCTCCCACAGTCATTGTACTATTGTGAGTTCTGACTTGCAATTTGTCATTTTTCAATGACCCTGTATATTTATAATAATTGAATAGAAATCATTGAAAACATATACTACAGCACCCACACATCGCGCAAATCAAATACTTAGATCGTCTAGAAAATTCATCATATAATACGTACAACAGCGGTGGCAACTAATACAGTGGAATCCGTTTATTGTGGGCACTGGTTAATATGGGCATCCGCTTATTGTGGGCAAGCTGGTCTGGTCCCAATACAAATGTATATTAACAATGTTAAATCTAACCGCGTAATATGGGCACTCGATTCGGTTTATGTGGGCAATTTTATTTTATCATTGCGTTAGAATATACACATATGTATTTAAAAACGACTAATTTAATCGGATTTCGTCATATCTATGTGATTGTGTTTATCGAAAGTAATAAAAATCATTATGCCATTTATCCAACCCTTAGATATGGATATTATCAAAAACCTCAAGGTGAGATACAGAATGAAACTAGTTCATTTTATTCTAGAAAAGATTGAGGAAAACCTGTTTGATCCATCTGAAACTGCTAATCAAATTAGTGGCAAAATAAACGTATTGCAAGCGATACAGTTTGTATCCGAGAGTTGGCGAGAAGTTAGCTGCTCAACTATTATGAATTGTTCCGCTTATTGTGGATTTTCTAATTTTATTGGTCCACAACCTGAGTTGGATGAACAATTTTTGTTTGTTCAAAACCATAACGAATTTGAAAACATTGATGAAAATGCTCCCTGGAAATTTAATTTATATAGTAATTATTTTACTTTTTTTCAGTTATATGATAATTAAAAATAAAAACTTTTTTGTATTATAATTTTTTTTTTTTAAAACTAATTTCGGTTTTTATGGGAAACCGCTTAATGTGGGCAAACAGAGCTGGTCCCAGCGTGCCCACATTAAGCGGAATCCACTGTATACACAGTATAAAGAGTAAACATAATATTAATATAAATCATTTTTTTTTAGTTACGTACATAATAGTTGGGACTAGGCTGATAGTTGTCGACGGTATCCTCGGACGATGATGACGACGACGAATGATGGTTGTCGACTACTTCTTGTTTCTGGAGTTTCAGACATTCCAGCGTCAACACCAACCGTACGGTTAATGAACCTCGATTGGAATCGTTCACTCGTACTAATCCCGTCTTTGCCTAATGGTGTAATTCGTTAAAGTTTTTAAATCTAGTGTTTAATAGTGATGCGAAATAATGCAAAATATTGAAAAATAATGCAAAATAATGCAAAATAATTAAAATAATGCAAAATAATCTATTGTGCGTAGATATATATTATTACTTTGATTCCGTCCAGGCACTCATCTTTTATATCCGATTCTTCGGTACTATTTAAATTCAGCCGCATAATTTCTCTGAGTTGAGCACAACTGAAATCATAATATATAAGAACATCGTTAAATATGAAATATTGCAAAAATTTACAAAAATTAACCACTGTAGAAGTATTTGTAATATAATTTATCATATTATATTTTCAAACAATTGTATAATAAATTAAAGTAAGTATATACACTATACAATAAACAAACTTATATAGTTATATGTGATTATTACCTACTGCCGTACTGACCTAAGTATCTAACTGTCTAGTGTCTAATTTAGTATAATAATATTAAAAATACTAAAAAGTTAGATATATTTTATGTTACACACTTATTCGTTATTATATGCATTATAATTTTGAATATAATATTCATATAATTTTCCAACTATACATTACAAAATGCAAAAACAATTTTAGTTGTATTTAATGTATTTTTATTGTTCAATAAGATAGCATAAATAATATTATATATATTTAGTATGTGAAATAATAAAATATACCAAATTCATTATCCTACTCACTTATATATATAGTTTTATAAATATTAATAAAAGTACATTGTATTTTAGCAATTTATATGGTTTTTTGAGAGGGTCCTAACTATAAAAAATAATGTTTACCCCTATTATATATGATGGTTTGGTAAGGGTTTTATATGTAAAAAGTACCTAACATTTTTATTTATTTTTAACATAGTAAGCGGTTATTAATATGAATGATTTATTTTCAACGAAAAAAACCATTAATGTATTTGCTGTAAAAAAAAATACATTATTTAAAAACAAGCGAAAAGTATTTAATGTTTAAAAGCGTTATGACTGTGAACACCAAAAATCGTTTAGCGTGCTATGATAGGACATCGGATAAAATAAAACATATAATACATATAATAGGTATGTAGATAGGTAAGACATAATACTTATATTTTATGGGCAACCCTTGACTTTGGGTAAAGTCAATATTACCCGAGTAAATTCATATACTTATACTCAATTTCTGATTTTAAAAGGTATAAAGATAACAGTGGAAATGAAATGTTTGAAATGGTGAATCTACAGTACAATATTACCCGGATAATCACGGTGACCTTATTATACCGAAAATACTTGACCAATAACTCAAAATGATTATTAAATATCCATCCTTTTTAAAAATAATGTAAAATAATAATAATTTGATTACTCAGTTACATGGATAAATAATTGTATCATAATAATAGTTAGACATGTAGTTATTATGCCGACCTAGAATCACTAAACTATTACTCCCCTGCAATTACCGCTACAGAATGTGCTAATAGAACGTCGGGTGTTAAGTGAAAACTGTAAACGGTTCAGTCTATACAATCGATAAAAAGAAAAAGTATTTTACACGACTGCACGGGATATAGCGGTTGGGCCCTCAAATTGCCTAATTGTGAGAAAATATATTTCTACGTTATAAAAATCGTTATATGCTCCGTTACACATTGACACATAGTCGTGACGTATATTATACGTAGAGGTACTTGGCTCGATAAACCGACAAAACTTAAGTGACGGCCGCGAAGTTCGAGGGCGGGTACACACCACCACGATCACATAACGAGTACAGTCCACCGCATCTGCTACAGGGCTCGTCGGAAAATACTAGGAAGATGTGTGCCACTACTAGATTAAAAACGTCGAGAGACGAGAGTTTAATCGAATCCCAGTGCGGTGGAGCCCGAAAAGCGATTGATTTCCCGGAAAAGTCACACGGCTCGAGAGAAAAATCTAAACGGTTCAGAGCTCCCAAGTGCGAAAAAAATTCGATTCCGACAATGATTAACATGTGTTGGCATACAACATCATCATCGTATTTCCTTTTACTCACATATATGTATAATAATAATGTAATTTTAATAACTCGCGGTGTACACTATGTGTATATGTATATCAATATAGCCTGCTATTCCCTGGCGACCCCTTTCTCGAGAACTCCAGCACTCGACGACCACCGTATCCAAGCATGTATACATCGATGCACGTATAATAACAGTACATCGTCATTATATATATATATAATAATATATACATCGTCGTCAATCGTGTCGTGTGCGGCGCGATGATAACCGCTGCCGACATGGGAAGGGGATCGGGTCTCAGCTAAATGTCTGGTGTTTGCGGACGTTATATTATTCAATATATTAAATATTAACATACATATATAATATTATATGTATACACTTGTATTATATTGCCGCCGGGTATATACGCACTGTATGTGAGGTCGATGGGGTGGTTTTGGCGTGTGACCGTAGGCGGCGGCGGTGGCGGCGATCGAACACAATGGTTTTGTGTGTGTGCCTCTGTGTGTGATGTATACGCGTATGTATATGTGTGCGGCGCTACGAGAACGGTCTCTCCCCCTCCCGAAAGCGTTTTCTCCAGCCAAGAGTTCGTGGGAAATCGTGTCCGGAACTACTCTCACACACCCCTTCGCGCCGTGTATACCCTTATATATCGCCACTTTTACCCATCCACCCTCCGCGCCAGCACGCCACCCATTATATAATTATAAACATCGGACTTAATCTCCTATGCACACACACACATATACATAAAAATGTTGTACTCACGATTACTCGTATTGTCCACCGTAGTGCTACCTACACGCATACAACGAGTATATTATAATTGTGTGTTATACCTTTTACCTATTGTAAAATCTATACCTGGTTCACCTCGCACATATTTAGGCGCGTGCCCGACGTGTGCCTATGATGTAGTGATGTGTGATGTATACAATAAAAGCCTCTGCCGGTCGCCACTGGACACGCATTGATACATAAAGCCGTGATTGGTACACAGGTGTAATATTATTATCTCGTGCGTTTTTCTTTCAAATCTCTATATACCTACATCATCATCATTAATAACTATTGTATTATACGATTGTAAATTCATTACATTTTTGGAAAATACTTTTTGCTTGCAATATAATAATAACAAATAATTGTAGGTATAGTAAAATACAATTGAACACAGTGTTCAGAAATATTATTTACTTTAAAATTTTCTATTGCACACACATTTCAGGACCTATATTAAGTTAATGTGTGTTATCACTTATTGCAATTTTAAGTATCTATATCTGTGAGTGAGAGCGTGAAATGTTTACATAAATTATATGGCGGTATATTCAATACGTTATACTTATATGCAGACGAGCGTTTTTGCATTTAAATAATTATTAACACTGTTATATATTTTACAAAAGATAATTAGATTTGAATTCGATGATAATGTGATCGAGACGACACGCGTGCTAGACGGTGACGACTGACGAGGAGTACAAAATAGGCAGACACTCGGCACGCGCGCAAATCGACTCTGCCGCACGTGGTTAAACCGCAAGACACGCGTTCTTTATTATATTGTATAATAATAGGTATAGTAATCGCCATTCAAGGAGCAGCCCAACATCGATGAAAGGAATAGTTATTAAAACAAAAACGAATTAAACATGCACCATCGGCGGACGGCGTTTAATATTTATCTGCAAGCCACTATAGTTTGATATAGTTTATTGTTCAAAATAATATATTAATCCTTCAAGTAAAATAAATTAAATGTTTTGCTGACAACATATATTATGCGAAAAAGAAATATTTCATGAATAGTAATACTATTAGGAAATTAAATTAAAATCTAATTTTCTTTCAAAGTACTTACACAATGTAATTTTTTAACTCGACTAAAAGTGTATTTTAATAAACGTAAATATAACCATAATTTCTTAACCATAGCATACACCCAAAGGCCAAAAGGATAGGTTAGGTTATAAATATTATACTACGGTCTACGATTATAATATATCAAGCCCAAGCCCCAAATGTTAATTATTACTATTGAATAACACATTTCATTCAAATTATTAAGTAATTAAAAAGTATTTTAGCAAAAAAAGGTTTGAATACCTAAAACATAAAATACATCACAACTAATACGTATATAATGGCATAATAACTGAATAATAAATAAACAAAATTTAATAACATAGATACTATTAGAACGTCAAAATTAATTGTTCAGTTATTTTTATATTTTAAAACTAATTGTTAAAGATTTGAAAATATTGCTTTAAGTTGTCATTGAAATATAATATTGTATTAAATATAAAATGGATATAAAGCCTTCAATAATTACAAAGAGCTAAATATTGAATAATATTTTTTATATAATTATTGTAATTTCAAGTATATTGAACTCCTATATTAAATATGAATACGGTAGGTATAAATAAAAATATAAAGCCATAATATATAGCCTCAGACTAGAAATTTGTTTAGGGGCCTTAGATGTTATAATAGCTTCTTTTTGTTACATCATTGAACTGATTTACAAAAAAAAAAAAATATAATTCCAAATAAAACAACTATTGTCTTCAGGTAGATCCCAAATCCACTTACATGTTACTGTAAAACTTACACATTGAGAATAAATAATAATCCTAAATTATATTTTTATTTTTCATGCATTAATACTACTATAGACATATTTTTTATAAAATTAATTTATAAATTACCCAAGTATAATCAATTAAACATTACGTTGTCGTCGTGCAAACAGTGGTTAGGTTAAGTTAGTGTACATTTTTTTAAATTTATAATTTAGTAAATCACAATATTCACAAAGTGTAAGTTTATATTATATTTATACTATACCTACAGCAGGTAGCAAAATAAAATAATACAAAAGCGTATCTAATAATTTAATAAAAACCACTTATAAACTACCCTGGGAATAACATTTCGAGTTCAATATCTAACGTAACTAAATCTTTAAACATTAAAATATTAAAAAAAAAAAAACATTATACCTCGTGATTTATTAATTTTTTAGTATTACGTTTCTGTTGAATTGATAAATTGCATGTTTTATATTTAAATAAGTTTTTTTTTTACGTTTACCTATCATATGATATCAGTTGTACTATTGCAGTGTCGTATATTATTTAAAATTCATATATTACAACTATGAATCTATATTCTATAACTG